TCAAATTGCTTGAGTCAAAATCTCCGCAGACAAACATGTTATCGGCGCACGAGTATGCCATCTCAACATTTGCCGGATTACGATAGAGGAAAGCATCCACTGATTAGCAAAGAGATGAGCTTGGGAGGAATAATAGCAGCTGAGGGGGATGGAGTCGATCGAGCACGAGTGAAGGAAAAAAAAAAGAAAAAGCACAGGAATAAGAAGGGGGAAGCGAGGGAAGGCATCCGAGGTTGGGGAGGGGGGCGGGGGAAGCCGCATGTTTTAAGGTGAGTCCAAGGTGAACGGAGGATGTAAAGAGCTGTGTAACCTGCAGGTTAATGTACAGGAGGAACATCATTGGCGGTCGTAGCAGATTGCGACACGCACTGGTTAACGGTTTTCATCAAGCAGTCTCCACACATGCAGCTATACCTGCCTCCGAGGCTTAACTTTTGGCTGTCACATGCAAAATGTCACATAGGCATGAGAAATTTGGGGTTTATTTTGCATCTCGCCTCACAGGATGGATATGTCTTGTCTCATTTTAGCCATAAAACATCCTGAGATCTGTAGCAATGATATTCGATACTCGGAGCATTTACGCGAATAAAACGACACAAACACATTAGTCCAGTACATGAAAAAAAAACCAAAATGCCTTTAAAATTCACACGAACCTGCCATGATGGAGGTTGTGTGAAAGTTCATAAGTTCAGAAAGCATCTGCAGATTTTTCTTGGAACTTATCCTCTGTTATTGGCCCCAAAACTTACCTATTCCGTTTTATTTATTTATTTATTAATTAATTATGTGACCTAAGCCATGTTCATTTGAAAAGCAGCACTTTGCTGACATCTTGTAGTAGCGCCGGTCGACAATTCAATATCAGTATGTGTCACGATAGACACTTGATCGATATCAATAGAAAATGCCGTCGATAAAATGTTGGATATAAAAGAAAAAAACTATAAATCCGAACACAAACCACAACGCAGGCATCTTGTGTATTGTCGGCAGCGCGCAGCCGCCTCGATACCACAAGAAGAAGCAACTCAACCAATGAAGAAGTGCCCCTGCGACATACTCAACTGTAAACGCTACATACATCCACAAAACCCTTACTTCACACGTTTCTTCATATAACCGCTCTTTTCATAAGACAGATCAATGTGAGGCACCACAAAGCATGATCAGAGAAGATACGATCACATCGCAACTCGATTCAAGGAATCTTGTTAACTCCTCTCTAGCTTCAGTCGTTTAGGGAGATGTTGGAACATCCCAAAGCTGGTTGCAGAGTCTCTTTTCATTATACTGAGGTCACTGTTGTGCGCAGTTTTGAGGCCAACGGAGGAGCATATGGCATGAAACCACACCGAGGGAAGTGAAGGTCATGAAGAAATCCACTGTGTCAACACAACATGCAGCCTTGCCACTCCACATTATTACTCTCCTTTTATTTGAGCATTTACACACCTGCAGTAACTCGACTAATAGGGCACTCACTGACCCAGGACTGTGCAACCTGAGCGTGCAAGGAACCCGAGGGAAAAAAAAAAACACATGCAAGAGTCAACATATCTTGATAATAATGAAGCCAGCAGGTGCATCCCCCACTGGCTTTTTTTTTTCAAAAGGGAGAAGACAAAGGATGGATGTTCAGGTGACCGACACTATAGAAGTAGCGTCTCATTTTCTAGGGGAGCAATAATTACGGGTTATATTTTGAGAGCCCGTGTGGTTTGATGCCATAGCGTGGTCTTGAAGCAACACACAAAGATAATGACGGGTCGGCGCCAGGCTTGCAGCCCTCAGGCCTTATTTGGCAACCTTGAAACCAGTAAATGACAGATCTACACATTTCTGCCTTTGTGTCCAAGCCCTTCTTATTATATATCTGGTCACCAGACATTTGGCTCAGCTAAAGTCTTTGTCTGTGCCTTCGCAGACTTTTTGACCGGTTCAAGAAATATCAACTGGCTTATTTTTGTGACAAAAAAACCCCCCAGTAACTTTTCTGACAATATATATCGGCCAACGATAACAGAATTTTACCATGCTAATATCTTTATTAGCTCTAGTGGCAATGTTTTAAGTAACACCTCAACAGTTAGGTCAGACAAGTGAAATGCTATTAACCTGTTCCAGCCCTTGTGCTATATCCTATGTGCACATGTTGGCCGCCAGGGGGCAGTATAATAAAGACAGTATACACATGAAGAAGAGTTCAACTGACTCAATAATGTTGTTCCCGGCAGTGTGTCGCAGCGTAACAGCTGAGTTATCTCATTTTCCAGATTGTTTTTGGGCAGTCGTTTATTGCCCTCGCAACCTGTTGCTTCCGATGATAACAGTATAACTTTGTCCTGAAATAATGTTCAATCTGTACTTAATTAAAGCAAAAAAATAAAATAAAAATCCCCTACTTAATTACATTGACACTGTATTGTACGGCGCTCACCGCACTAGTGGATGGCTGCTGCCACGCGCCTTAATGTAGTAGATGACAGGAGAGAGGGGGGTTTGTATGATGGACATCACACTACGAAAGTCAATCAGCGATCGGGGCGGCCATCACGCAGACTTAGACCGGCCATTCGGGAAAATCAACACAGTGTCACGAAACTCCCGATGACCAGTATGCCCCTGCTCACTGCCTTTTAATTCAACATCATAAAAAGCTCCAAAACGAATATCAAGCAGCAAATCAACACCTCAAGCTGAAAGCACCATGATTACTTCTGTAAAAATGTTTTAAATGTACACAAATACAACACAGTATTAATAATGTTCCTGACAATGCTCGACACTGTTGGCCTCTCATGCTGCGCTTATTCATTTACTCTCCTGTTTGTTATCATCTTTGTCTATACAGTGTTTTAGTGTATTATCACGCAGCTGAACAAACAATGCATAAAACTGTGAACAATAACGTTAGCATTGACATTAGTGCTAACGCAATGCCGTATCCAGGCTGGTCCACAAATATCATGGTCCACTGAAGTAACTATTTCGAGTTTGCCAAGGCAATGATGGAGATGATATTCTTCTTAATACAAGCCAGTGTGCTGGCACATTGATATCACAGCTGTTATTTTAAGGACACCTTATTTGTTGCTTTACGAAATGTGCTACTTATGTGAAGCTAAATTTTCCAATCCAATCAAATTTGACGTTTTGGCTCATGATGCTGGACTCAGTCAGTCTTGTGTGTGTCAGTTTGTCAAGCATACATTTCAAATGTCAATGGCGGTTATCCTTCGATGAGTTGCCTTGATTTAAAGGTCATGTTATTTATCTAAGGCAACATAACCCTGTGATTCTTTTAGAGGGCGTTGATAATTTGCAGGACATACCCCCCTTTCCATCCTCAACATGCACACACACTACTATAGTAGTAAGGAAGGTCTGTGTGAGAGGAAAAAAAAAGCGTTGGTCCTTTATCTTGAATAAGTAAAAGCCTCAAACCTCTAGATGTGAAATATTCATTGTCAAAAATTAAATAAATATCACGTAAGAGTCACCGAACGCTGCTCTGCACCGGGGGGAGATGAGTCATATTTAGCACATGTTTAGAATGTGTGAATCTTTGCTCTCCGGTGTTCAAATGGTGGCTGAGCGGAGAAAATATGTTGATTGTGATTGTGACTGATAATGACATGTGAGCGTGTTTTTCGAGACTTAGAGCATGTGCCTGTTAAAATCTGATTATGCTTGTTCTGGCTCAGGGGGTTTGAGCGTGAAAGCTAAAATAGATTCGAATCAAATATTCAGTCACAGAAGCTACAACAGGCCAACGCTGTCATTGCACTTCGTCAATTAATTGTCGAGGCATCTGCAAATGAGCCAAAACGACACAAAGGTGTACGTACACTCTTAAACTTGAAATGAATGCACCTTCTTGCATGCTGCAATTAATCTGCACGGTACAAAACAATTAGAGATGTGAATTTTGGCATTTGCACCTGCGTCGTGTGGTGTTCCTTTGAATAAAACACAACATTCAGAATGGAGCACGGCCAAAGAGGTGTGAAAAAATGTTTGTCAGTCGGGCACATTTGAGGGGAAGGGGGGGGAAGGCGCCCTCATGGTGAAATTGTATATTGTTCTCTCACCTCTCCCTTTTTTGAGCGAGGAGAGGAGCTGACCTTCAAGCGTTGTTATAGTGCAACATTGTCGTTGCATGATCGCATCAGCAATGCAACTGACTGAGCACTTGATCCTATCCCATGGTTCAAATGTTGACAAAAGCACTGTTTGATTGACAACAAAACACCGTCTGCATTTGTGCATTCAGGGCTACTGTAGAAAAATGGCGCTGCAAGGTGGTTGGCTCTGTTTAAAAAAAAAAAAAAAGGCGCTAAATATCCTATGGTGCTAAAACTGAATTTTACAGAGGAATATTATTCAGGAATGTCAGAGTCGTCCCACTTTTGAATAATGTTAACATAAATATAAAAAAAAAAAAACGGTATTTATTTTGAATCTAATCTCGTCCCTTCAATTAGATTTTTTTTTTTTTTTTAAGGTGAAAAATTTGACATTATTCTGGCCTTGTCATCCTGGGCTGTCTTTCCGAATTAACAATGAATCTGACATAAATTCGTCTTTAAAAAAAAAGTCTGACCTATATAAACACCATATGTTTAAAAAGAAATGTCTTCTTGCCAAGGAGACTTAAACTGCTGAATATATGTGTAAAAATATCTCTACATTTTTTTTTCTATGGAATTATGGAAAGCACCAAACGGAGGTAAATGATCATTTCATCTGTCAAATGAAATGTAACATTGTGAAAATGTGCGTCATCTCCAACCTTTACGCAACCTCGGTGACCTGTCAACAAAATCTCAGTATCGCTGAATATGTCAAATCATATAAAATGCACCAGTTACAAAGGAAAAAAAAAAGCAACCTTTTCTTTGTTTACTTTTCTTTGACTGAGTGACGACCTTCATCGAACTTGTATTCACAATGCACACAAAAAGTTTGCGCCATAACATCAACGTGAGACTCACCTAAGATCATCCTCAAGCCTTCCACGGGGAACTTCTTCTTGTCCACAATGTCGTCCTTCTCGTCTCCTCTCAAGTGTGCTAAAGCTCAAGCGCGCCTCTCTCAAAACTCAGCATCAATGCGTAAGAAGCCTCCGACATGACAAGCTTTACTTTTGCCTCCAGCTGTCGTCGCTCCTCTCCTGCTGCTTTTTGCAAGGCTGTGATCTCGAGTTCACGTCGTAGCCGGAGGAGAAGCACGCCGGTCCTGCTGCAACACGCGCTTGAGATTCTACTGCATGTCAGCCGCTAATGTAGTCGCTGCTCGACGCTCAGTTCAGCGGCAGGAACAAACAGCGAATAGAGCTGAGGTGAAGCTTCACCGGAGGATCCTCTGCACTACTCTACTCTCTCTCTCTCTCTCTCTCTCTCTCTCTTTCTCTCTCTCTGTGATTTTTGGGGTTTGGGTATAACCTAAAGGCACCTTGCACTCCCGAGCCGTGATTGGCTACAGCCTCGGCCAATCAGAGCGGTCCATGCGGTGTGTTTTCTTGGGGTGTTTGAATCAGGAGGCAGCGGTTTTGTCGCTCTCCTTCCTTTTTACCAGCCGTTTGTTCTCGCACCCCACCATATTCCGCTGTGTGCATTTGCTCCCGCCCGCCTGTGATGTGTTTTTTTTTCCGTAACGCATCGAAAAAATAAAGCTGGAGAGCAGAGGCAGAGGTGTGACGAGAGACTGACAGCCCGCGAGAATGGATGGAACGTTTGAGGGAGTGGAGGAGAAATTGAGTTTAATGCGCACTGACTGGGGATTTGAAAGAGTGGGCTGAGGATACACGCCGACGGCTGTTTTGACACTGCTGATGGGGGTCCCAAAAAGCAGGCGGAAGTCGAGGCCACATGACCTCCTAACTCAGTACTTCATGTTTCATCTGATAGAATTCACATGGTCTGTCTGCGTGTGTGTGTGTGTGTGTGTGTGTGTGTGTGTGTGTGTGTGTGTGTGTGTGTGTGTGTGTGTGTGTGCGCGCGCGCACATGGGAGATAAGGTTTCCCCATTAGTGGACTCGGGGCTTAATAATGCAGGTAGATGTATTGTTGGAACCAATGGGCCAGGTGCTAATGTGTGCTGTCTGAGGGTGGGGGCAGGGGCAGGGGCAGTCATGGCACGACTTTAATGGATGTTACCAAAGTAAACTGAAACCAGACCTGGAGACTCGGGTGACATGTTATCCAATGTGTACGTGTGTGTGTGTGTGTGTGTAATTTGTTCATCGACATCAGGCAACTTTATGACAAGGATCACATATTTAGTTTTATACTTACCCCTTGAGGGCCAGACCAAACATTTCCATTATATGATAGAAATTTTTTTTGTTTTACAATGACCCACTTGGGTTAGTTTCTTGATGACAATAATTTGATTAATTCATCATGCGCTTCAAAGACCAGTCAAGAGCATGCGCACGCTGTTAACCCACTCTGTAACTACGAAGTCATTGTGTGACATAACATCCACAGACGGGGCTTCGTGAAAAAAAATGCACACATATCCCAAACCTTGCCCAACATATTCACAATATAAACGGGATCAAGTCTAAAGAAAAAAAAAGCATAATTTGGATGAGCTTCATTTACCTGACAATTAATCACATTTCATTTGCTGTTCCTTTGCTTTTGTGCGCAGTCTACTTCTATTTCATGCACTGTTTCGCTAGCTAACAGCCATTCAGAGTGATCACTTCTCACCAATGGCCAACTGCACCATTTTCGACACCATATTTTATGCTACGATTGACAGACCATTTATTCAAATCAGATTTAAAAAGCACAATGACCCCCCCCCCAAAAAAAAATCCTTCATTATTCACGATTGTAAACATTGCTTTTTTTGCTTAGGGTTTGTTCCTACTTGTATTATTATACTTCATTTAGTCATTACTTCTAATGCCACTCGCTTGCAAAATAAACTGATACCAGGTTCAAATTATAGGATGTGGACTTGAAGTTGTTACACTAAATCATTTCCATGAATCCAGAACATAAATGTGAGGTTAGGCTCTTCTTACTCACAAAGACTCAGGAAAAGTTATCAAATATGTACAGTACATGTAATGGTTGAATGACCAATTGGTTTGAGCGAAGGGTATTCCGCACATGTGTGCGTGCGCGTGTGCGCGCGCCACATCTCAGAGACAGCAGGTCACACTTGTCGTATTCTAATTTTAGCTGCGACCGTTAGCGGCAAGTCCTCAGGAGGCCCACCGGTGTTGTCATCCGCCTACAAATGTGTTGGTCAACACCTTTAGGTCAAAGGCAGATACAATATGAGCACACCATTTAACACCCCTTCTGAGATTAGCTGGCAACCAGTCACGGGTGTATCCCACCTCTAGCCCAAAGTCAGCTCGGATAAGCTCCGCCCCCATTGCGACCCTATAGTGATTATAGAAAACGGATGGATCGATATTTAAGACTCCGTTTATGCCGCCTCTTTCACATTAAGGAAGAAAAGTTTCGGGAAGCAAAATCCTGCTCCCCGTGGCAACATTTGATTCACACCGGCCATGTGTTTTGAGTAGTGTATATGACGCATGTGAGGTGACTAACAGCTTGTTTGTCCTTTGGTGGCGGAGTGAGAGGCCAGTCCAGGTAGAATAGAACAGCTGTTTACTGCAGCTCAGAGGCATCGCAGCTGTCGCCAGAACGAATGACAAAGCAACGAGAAACACACCCGCACAAAGGTTAATAACTACCAATCATTATCTTTGTGATGGCAGAATGTTCGTTACAGCTCTTGTAATTAAGGAGACTTATTATGCAGTCAAAAAAACATTCATGGGTGTCTTAATAAGCCATTCTTCGGTCAAAATACACGAAGGATACAAAATTACAGCACACTTAACCTCCACTTGCAACCTGTCCGGTTCAAATTAGTCATTTATTTTAAATGAAGGAATGGGTAAGAAAATCTTTCTCTTATTGGAAAAAGGTCACATCGGGTGCCGAAGACGTTCTCCAGAAATTCGCCAACAGTTTTAACGGAAACAGTTTTTCTCTTTCATTTTTTTCTTTCATGTTCAAAATTTCCTGCCTTTTGCAACCAATTGCGACCTCGAATGAACCCTCAACGAAATTTTTTTTTTTTAAAAACCTGCGCCACTCAGTGAGATACGGGTTGAACAGTGGTAACACGGTTAGCTAATCCGTGCTCACACTGTGCCCCGCACCTGTCGGCTGTCAACACGTTTTTCTGCTTTTCTGTTTTTTAGCTTACACTCTCCACCCTCCTGTTTCACTCTCCTCCCTCCTCTCGCCACAAATTCCTTCACTGGTCAGGGGTCAGACCAGGCTGATGTCCTGATTCCTGCACATAAGTCGGCAGTTTCATCAAAGTTCCAGTATTCCTATCGTATGTTCTTCTTCTAGTGAATAATTGGGGCATCCGGCCTTTCCTGCCTCTCAGTTCATCTTAAGGTGATCAAAGGAAGAATTGCGCAGATGGTGGTCGGGATTATTAGACGAGCTCTATCCCGCATTCCACAATGAGGCTCCCAAATTTGAAACTGAAATCAATTCAAACATCCTTTTCCGGCGGAATGAATGAATGTACGGTGGTGTTCAGAATAATAGTGGTGTGTCAGAAATTGAGGACTTGTTTGATCTCGTCTAATCATCCTGCCCCAGAATTCCAGTTCACAGTTGCTTGAATTTGATTCCACCGTGGAATGCAAAAATGAAGTCGCTCTCAGAAACAACTGCATGTGAACCATCCCTCCATTTTCTATTTTTTGCTTGTCCTCACGCATCCTATACAAGAGACCAAAGTCGGATACTCACCTTTTGACAATTTCGAGGCATCAATTCACGTATCATTTGGGATGCGAAAGGAAAGTGGCGAAAGCCCACACAAGCATAGATTCTTGTTCTCTCTGGTATTTGTGCTCCAAACTCACCATTTGGATTTTGCAGTGTGCACTGGAACACCGTCGCTCTGGAACAGGGGGAAAAAAAAAAACCTTCCCCAAACTGTCCCCACACGATTGCCCACAATGTCTTGACAAGGTAAATAATTAAGTGTTGTTTATACTTCTGCGTAATGTTGCTTTTCTTCTGTCACGGCGCATTGCCTCAGACATGACGGGCTAAATATTCAAGTAGGTTTCCAACTTGAAAATGCTGACGCACTCAAAATTCCTCAGCGCTCTCAGCATCTCTGTCGCTCTTCGCGATTGAGTTTGTCATGCAGCGAGACACATTGGCCGAAGTGCCGGCTGCAAACGCACAGGAATTTTATTTGGACCGCTGTGAGACGAGCGCAGTCACCGAAAAAAATCAAACATGATACCGTAGCACTGAAACCGTGCCCACATTCCTCCCCGTTACCAGTTCAGGTGTAAAATCAGATCAAATGTCATTCATGTGCTTACAAGTGATGTTTTGCACATATAGGGGATTATTGAGTGGACGCGCAGGAGCCAAGGGACCGAGACTGACATATGACACACTGTCGAATAAATGTCAGTCTAATTCTGATAAGATCAAATATCAGTTTAGGAGACAGCTCCACTCCCTTAAGTGCTCCACACCTCTCACTGAATGAATGAGATGATATGTGAAACACCCTGATGACCTTTTAGGGCTTTATGAAAGCAAACAGTGACGTCCACTCAGGTCTTTAATGAACAAGACATTGATGTGCCCGTGACAATAACGACACAAAATGAGTCTCTTGAGAAAACGTTGGAGCGTCCTCAAAAATGATCTGCACTTTCAGGTGGGAGGACGTAGCAAAAGATTTGTGAGGGCGGGAGGCACTTAATATCCCAAACGCAGCACTGGGAGGCTATTCTGACACCCTGTAAAGAAACTCACAACTTCAGTGGGTTTAATAAATTGGAATTTGCACGTTCGCATGCTGTCAAATAAGGCGTCCTATGTGATGGTATAATGTGACCCTGTTAAGGCATTTTTGATTGAAAGAGATTTCATCATTTCAGTACATTTGACCTCCTAATGCTGCTGGACAAAAAAAAAAAGTGCTTTTTTTTTTTAAAAAGAAAAATACTGCTGTAATTAGGAAGTATGTTCAAAAACATTCATTATCATCTCATGATTGATGATTTGAAAGTGATGCTGAATGTCGTTTTCACGGATGGCTCCGTTTCTGCAAATACATCTTTATTGATGATTTTGGCATCACTCACTTAAGATGGTTAAAGCGTTTTAGTTTTCAATTCCAAATCACACTGATTGAGTTAGTTGTGTGTCAAAGAAGTCCAAAGCTTACAACTGATGTCGTCACATTATACGGACCAACTCGGAAGTAATCTGCTTCTTCCTTGACAATCGCACCATGTTTCGATTGAGTTAATTGCGTGTCAAAGAAGTCCAAAGCTTACAACTGACGTCGTCACATTATACGGACCAACTCGGAAGTACGACTTGCTACATTTCAGTTTCATCTCACCTTTTGTTTTTTTGTTGTAATCTGCTTCTTCCTTGACAATCGCACCATGTTTTTGCGGTTCAACGTTTTTCAATGTGATAACATAAAATTTTTTTTTAAAAAAATGGTCACGATTATT